TTGCCACACTTCCTTGGCCTGCACGGTCTCCAGATTTATCATTAATCGAACATGTGTGGGACCACTTGGGTCGCCAGCTGCGACAGCCACAGGATCTGACTCATCTTGAGTCCCAATTGCATCATGCATGGACAGATATGCCTCAGAACATTATTCGTGACCTTTGTGCCTCCATGCTGAGGCATATCACAGCTTGTATCCGCGCTAGAGGCGGCCCAACAGGATATTAGTACCTGCACTGTATTGCATATTACTGCACAATAAAGTATGTTTTTGTTTTATGGTTGCAATCATATATCTGTCTAGCAATGACGATGTCATATACCAATTTTTATTCAAATCCAACAAGTCCTTCATGGTGCGTTATTTTTTTTGTCGTCCAGTGTATTTGATAATGCTTTTGCTTAGTTATACCATTATTATAGTTGATAAATTCTGTACAATTATACATTTAAAACTATATATTCCTAAATTTAATCTGTCTGTCCAAACTCTGTATATGAATACTTCAAAATGAAATGTACTAATTTTCTAAACCAGTATTTCCCAAACTGATATCTGCAGACTAAGTCCATGAAATATTTACATGATAGCTTGTAATATGCATTTATTTTTCTAAACTGATAATATTCTATAACAAAATTTGTAATTCTATTTATTTTTGATATGATCAGTGTGTATTAAGTCATTCCCATTTCACTTTGCAGCGTTTATAAGATAAATATAGATCAGAAATATTTTTTTCATTTTTGAAAGGGTCAGTAAATATCAATAATTTGGGAACCACTGTTTTATACTAAAATAATTTAGAAATTTTAAGAATGATTTCAACAGGTATTGTTGAAGTCCTTTAATTAATAATTAGGAAAATATAATGAAATTTAATCATATAAAAAATATAGAATTCCTTTCTGTAACTATGATGGAACTTTTTATATATTTATTAAGAAATGGGTGTACAGCATTTAATGCATACTATAAAAAAAATCACTCTTAAATATTTTGAACATATCTTTTATGCTGTTATGGTCATATAAAATTAAAATGATACAGTAAAGCAGTACTACTGGTTTAAATTCAATGCTGAAAGACTACAAAATAATGTTCATGTTGTATCGTGTAAAAAGACATGACAATCTAGCTCAGATAAGCTAAATATATTATTCACATTTGCCTATACAAACCATAGGAGATACTGCATCATGTTCATCAACAAATTTATTACTGTTCTAACATTTGTTTTATTTGAAATACATTTTTAGAAAATATCAATTATTATTTGTATATCTATACCAATGAGCTAGGNTTGTATATCATTATAAAATAATATATTAAGTCTGATTAAGACTATATTTTCAAAACAGACATGGCTTATGATTTATTTTATATTATAAAAAAATTTAAAAATTTTCAATTCACTCTTCTGTTTGAATAACGTTATAAAAAAATAAATATAAAATTTATAAATTCTGTATTTTATCCAATAATATTTACTAGAATATAATTAACCATATTAATCAATCATTTAGAACATAATTATGTTTTTCTTATTATTTATATCAATTTTGCTACTCTTAAATTACTCTTACTCTTTATTAAGAAGTGAAAATATATAATAAAAATATATGATTTTCATGCCACTCACCTCAAGTGCCGACGATATATGAACACCATCTAAAAATATTTATAACAAAAATAATAATTTTATGATTATAATCTTAATAATAAAAAAATTACATTAATCAATTGAAAAAAATAAGATATTTATGATCTGAAAAATTCAAATTTTTTAAAGAATTTTCTATCATCTGATACTAATGCTTGTCTTCTTTTTGTATCTCATGTCATTCTAAACTGATATTTATTGGATAATAAATGATTTATCTTGCAAAACAGATTTCAACTAGATAATAATGATAAAATTTAAATTCACTTCTTTTCCAAAATGCATTATTTTAAAATAGGAAAAATTATTTTAAGAATTATTATAGCTAGTATTTTCATCAAGCTGTTCATAATTTGAAGTGTAAACTTGACTTTCTGTAATGCAAAAATTTGAAGCTTTTGAAATGTTTTTGATACCAGGTGTAAAACCAAATTTCAGATTAATTTTATGAAATTTGAAATTATTTACATTTTATATCTTCATTATATTTAATCTTTTTTTATTTAATTAAATTTGAACATGTTTAATATAATTATTAATGAGAATAACTCAATGTCAACAATATAAGCATAAATAAAATTCAAAATTAAAAAATAATAATAAAAATATATTACCTTTATTACTTGGGTATCTTTGTATTGTCAACACTGTACTATTCTCATCTAATAATTACAACTAGTGTTTTGATGAACTAAAAGTTGAAAGTTACTTGGTTGAACATGTCTTATCTCAGATTTTTCTATTGATATAATTTTGAAAGTTTTCAATATGGAAACACAAACAAATTAATCTTATTATTGCATGTATATTCTTTATTCTTTAGTAAAAGTTGTAAAAGTAAACAATGAACTAAAATATATTTCTTTTCTACTCCTACATATTCTATATTTTTTTTATTTGGTAATTTTTATTGAAGAATAAATAGTTCATATTTGTACCAAAATATGATACCAAAATTATACAAAAGTTTTTGAAGCTGAAAGTGGTTAGTTTTGGATAAACGTGCTACCATATACAAGTTTCACTACGTAGTCAAGTTTTCTTGGTTTTTCAGTTTCCAATAACAAAAATCTGATTAATAAAAAATACTTCCACATCTCTAAATTAGTACAAGACTCAACATGAGCAACCATCTTACAATCAGCATATGACTTGTGTTACTGTAAAAGTCCAATGTTTGGTAACTCTTAGAAATTACCAGTAAATCCAGACATTTACTGTGCTGACTGGTATCCCTAATAAAATGCCTACATTTAAAACTTTTACCAAGAGATACTGATAAATTTCCAGATTTACCATCAGCTCAGGTAAAAAATATATTCATATGTATATGTTGTTTTGTAATATACTTAAAATATAAATTAAGAAAATGAAAGTATACAACCTCAAAAACACGTAATTTTTAATAATAACATAAATACTTTCATGCAGGAGCAGATCAACATATGGACTAATAGGGCTTAAGCCCTGGGCTCCCAAGTGTCAAGGACCCACAAAAATTATATTATCATAAATTTTTAATACTTTTTACACCATTTCATAAATAAATACAGTAGAACCCCTCTAATCCGTCATCTTTGGGACTGGGGGTATGGTCGGAACGCAAAAAAGGTCGGATTATCAGAAAAAAGTAAAATAAACAATCTTCCCCTTTGTCCAGTCTTTGTAGTACTGCTAATTTTTCATTTAATGAAAGAGTAACGTGTTTACGTTTCACTCCTGACATGTTGAAAAACACACAAAACTGTATACGTACACACAATGTAAAACATATACTGTAACGAACACAAAACAACGCGATGGGCGGTGAGTTACTGACGAGTCGGGACAAGTTTCCCGACTCCGACCACGGTCGGATTAACCAGAGCGACGGACTAGCCGAGGGCGGACTAGAGGGGTTCTACAGTATATTTCAACTCTGATTTTGATGTTATTAAAAATAAATTTTCAACCCCAATTTAAAGATTCCTAATATAACAAAAAATGGGGCCCCATTGGACTTCAATAAGCCCTAGGGCCCAAAACACCTAGATCCACCCCTGCTTTCATGTGATATATAGCCTATGATGTTTTTAAAAAAGTTTAAACTAAAAAATATTTTTTCATTTTTGTTTATTAGAATATATTTTAACTTTTATTACTTATATGGATTGGTTTTAGCCTTTGAGTTAACAAATCTAGTGGCCACTGGTGAACAAATATTCCTATGTCTTGAGCTGTGGTTATAATAGATACTAGATTATAGTAAAATAGAAAAATTTTTTTATAATTTCAAACAAACAAATTTATATGAACGATAATTGTTGTGATATTAGAGAAAATGTACTGGTTGCAACAAAGTTGATTACTAGGATATTTAGAACTGCACAACAAAGATGATGATTTGCACATTTTTTAAACAATTGCATTTTTTGAATCCTTAGCCTCCAATGAAAGCTAGGTTGTGAAAACTTCTCAGACCTTTTTTCCCTAATTCTTTGAAGCTGATAAAATTTTCTTTGCACAATGTAAATTGGTTCCTAGTGAATGATGACTTCAGTTTTCCAAAATTTTCCAAACTTAGTGTCTAGCTGATAAAATTCATCATCTTCAATATTTATGATAACAGCTATTATTGATTTTTGACTGATCTTTTCTTGGTATACATCCGGTACTATAATTCTTACATTCTGTCCAATTGAAGGTTTTGGAATTTTGTTACAAGATGCTGTTTTCATTTTCTTTGCTTGTATTCTGAGGCCTTCTTTGGCAGTCTTTCAAAACAGAATCACTTTTTATACCCTGTTAGAAGTTGTCAGGAGTTACATCAAAACACTCAGGAGATAATGGTGAGTTTGCTTGTCTCAGTTTCAACTATTGTCAAATTCTGCATCCCTGCTGCTTTGTTTTCTGTTCCAATTGTACTTTCTAGCTGTGTTCCTTCATTTCCAGCATTTAACATATTTTCCAAATCTTCAGTGTCTACATGTGTATAAATTACGTGGAACAGCTGAGCAGGCAGTACCCATTTTTAATGTAACACCAAACATAGCTTCATATGGTAAACATTTGATCCCCACATGATAAGCTCTATTCATCATTGTTTTCATAAACTTCAAGTCTCAAGACCATTTTGAAGTTTTATTTATTACATGCAAGTTGATAACATATTTCCTATGTCCTGGTTTGTATGCTTAATTGCTTCCTGAGACTGGCTGTTCCTCAATTTTCCACAAACTATCTTTATATCAGCCCACATCCTATGTAAACATTGGAAAACTTGATTAAAACTCTATTATCAGAATGAAGGAAATTAGGTGTGCCAAAAGTTATGAAAATATCCAAAAGATCATATGCAACTTCCATAGTCATTTTCTATTTTAACGCTCAAAGAATAACAAATTTTGTCAAATAATCCTGATATACCAATATGACCAGTTTATCAAACAAATATAGTAAAAAAATTCTTCTTTTCCAGCAGACTCTTAGTGCTATTAGTTTTTCTTAACCCCCGTTATCGAGAACATACCCCTTGAAATGTCTACAGTGAACAGATTGTTTACTAATATTTTTCGCATCTTTCACTTCACTTACAGTGTTATATTGTTCATTACTTATAAAAGAACTGTTGTCTTTCTTCCTTTTCACTAATTCAGTTAAAAGTTCATAAAATCTGCTATGTCATCATTCTGCTGCATTAAAAGCAAGATTTATGTAAACACAAAAAATTGTATAATAGACAACTTATTCATCTACACTGCTTATTTGTCAGCAAATTCATTTTAAGAAATTAAATAAAAATTATTACAATAATACTTTCGTTATCTTAATTTACATTTTTAAGTATATTACAAAACTACATATACATATGAATACATTTTTCATCCAAGCCAGATGGTAAATTTGGGCATTTGCCAGTATTGCTTGGTAAAAGTCCAAAATGTGGGCATTTTATCAGGGATTTCAGACTTTTACCAGTCAATACTGGTGAATGTCAAGATTTATGAACAATTTCTAAGTTACCAGACTTTGGACTTTTATAGTAATTTATGTATGTACGTACATATGCTTCTATTTTCTGCTTCCAAGTGTGTCATGTGCCTCCCTGATGCTAAAGCAGAAACTGATGCATTCTATAATTAGTTTTCTGGTTTAGGTTAATTATTAAAAATTTACATAAAAGAATAAAAAAAATAAATACCTTGAGAGACAATTGTTGTATCCCCTGGTAAAGTACCAACAACTGCTCCTGTTCTAGAATCATAAACTTTATATGAAGAAGGATTTGCATTTGGCAGTGCATCAGATAAAGAACTGTTATCAGTCTACAAAAAGAAATATCAATTTTTTTTACTAATAAATTATTTACTTAAATAATTACTTAATTCAATAACAAAAGTATTAATAAAAATATGAATAAATAAATTCTTATTATTATTTATAATTATTTATATTTATATTAATATTTATTCTTATTATATTATTATCAAAAAAATATCTTTATTAAATTATTTGATGTATATTGAAAAAAATTAAGAAATAAAAGTATGATAAAATGAGTTTAATTAGTAAAACATGAATAGTTTGAAAATATATTTGGTAACAATTTTGTTTAAAGAAAGCATATGAAACAACAAAATAAACAGTCATTTCAATGACAACAAGAGAAAATAAATGAAGATCTCAATATTGATATTGCACATGCATGTTATTTTTATAAGGATTTTGTTCTGTTCTAGAATATTTTGAATGTCATTCAAATGTACAGTAATTTATATTTATGACTGTTCAGATGCAATCTGAAAATGGCTTGTAAAAGATCAGTTTTTTTTATAACTGTAGTCTAGTTCTGCTTAAAATATTTTATAATTAAATACTTCAACATGGATATAAATATTCTACTGTATTTTATAAAGAATTACAATTAAATATAATCAAATAAAATAATTATTTTATATTAAAAACTTACTCCTGTAGTAATTGTAATTGTTTGTTGTTGGACAGGTTTTATATTTATTACTGGATGAATAGCAATTGACGAATTACTTTCCAAAAACTTTGGTCCAACTTTTGAATCCATTCCATGATTATTTTCATTACTTTCTGAATCAATTTGAAAATCACTGTCTAAATTATTAATGATTTTAGCATTTATTGATTTCAAATAAATTATTTTTTGGTTGGCTTCTTCATATGCTTGTTTTGCTTTATAAAATGCTTCTCGTTGCACACCACTTAAAATTTCTTCACAACATTCCATTAAAAGTCCAGTATGTTCAGAAGATGAAAAATGACCACCTGGTGGAAAATATTCTTTTTCTGGCTTAGCGGGTTCATCTAAGCCATACATGTGCACAGTATTAAAAATTTTCTGTGCAGCTAAACGAGCTGCTCTTCTTGTTGGCTTCATTCTATATTTTTCTTCCTGTATAACAACATTAAATAAAAAAATAATTAACTATTATTGTCTTTGCATATGTTATTTCAATTATAGTATTTAAATAAAATATCATAATATACATACCATTATGCCATTTCTCTCCTTTAGGTTTGATAAAAGGGAGAGATTGAATTTTAATCTTACTTATATTTTTCAATTTAATTTAAATAATATAAAAAAAAAGAGAAAAAGAAAAATCTAAATATATTGAGAGTTGATATAAATTCTTTTAAAAATAATACAAATTAAAGGTTCATTATCTACTTGAAAAATAAATATGCATATAGTAAAAAAATAAATTATTAATTTGAAATTGTATTATAAATTTAGATTTGAAGAAATATTTTACCCAAATATTAATAAAAATGTTATGTAAATAGGGAAATTGCCACCTTTTAAATAAAAAAAATTTAAATTTCTTAAAACAAAGATATTTCAAAGGAACAGTTTTGAGATCATACTAATGAAATTGAAAGAATCTTATTAGAAAGTCACTGAACTTGCTTTGTATTAATAAAATTTGATGAAACATCCTTGGTTTTTTGAATGGAAAAGTAACTTTATACAGGATGTTGTAAAAAAGCATCACCATTTTGTTTTGCTGCCATTTTTTCTTTTGAAGTTATGTCAGTTTTCATTTGATAGTTATTTAGTATTCTACATATAATTGGAAAGATTGAATAAACTATTGATAAAAAATATAAATACAGGTATACCTCGACTTACGTCGTTTCGAGTTACGTCGTTCCCGATTATATGTCGTTTGTCAAAAAAGTATACGGAAAAATAAAAATCAAGTTTAAGTCATTTTATTTGACTTTACGTCCGTTCGCCAAAAATATTGAAGTTGTAATATCACTAGAAAAACGTTTAAAGCACATAAAATCATATTAAAATATATACATTTACAAGTATGTACTGTATTTACAGTACAGTACATGCATTCGTAAATTTAGATTACTTTTTTCTGTACTCTATTAAAAACTAAAATTTATTTGTTTGTAAGCTTAAAATAGATTCTTATTAACCATATATTATTAAAAATGCATTAATAAATAAAATACAGAACTGGGAATAGTAATTTATGGTTTTTCCTAGTAACAAGTAGATTCAGAGACAAGTAAATTCGACTTACGTCGTTTTTCGACTTAAGTCGTTTTCCTGGAACCAATTACCGACGTAAGGCGAGGTATACCTGTATTTATATTGTTTCATTTAAAAATTATTTAAAAACAAAATGGTAATACTTCTTTTATGATATTTTGTAGTATTGAACTTAAATTGACTTTAACTAACAGACATACCTCAAGTACAGTTCACTATTCAAATATGAACTGATTCCATTCTAATCCAATTCTTTATTACATGTATGAAAAGAGAAATGTAGTGAATATCAAATTTAATAGTAGTAAACCTGAAAAACAATTTATGATAAATTTTTTTGCACAATAATAAAATATTTATAATAATTGAATTCATAATTAACAAGCATTTTGAAATATTAATGACAATAAATTTCTTAACCAAAGTAAATGAATAAATAAATACAAATGTTTTGGATAATCAGCCATCCTCATATCTTCATACATTTGAAAAATAATGTCTGAATATGGCTGACCAGCCAAAAATGTTTGAGTATTTTGTATATTGATAAAAATATAAAACCAGGATGACAACTATAATAAAAATTTCACAAGTTTATAAGAAATACTAAAAAAACATAAAACTTTATCTTTTTCACACTCCTAGATTGAAACTTCACATATTCTGAACTGGTAAAATTTTTATTATAATTATCCTCTGAGTTTTATATTTTTATCAATACTGTATACAATGTATCCTTGAAATATACTGTCACAAGAGGAATTTTTAACATCTCTTGCATATCAAGACAGACAAGAATCTCAAAATAAAGGTTGACTTTGACACACATCTTTTTATTTTTGAATTCCAAGGTGTGGGGGGAAAAAACAAATTATGAAGAGACATTTGTTTTTGTGTTTCTTCTGAACTTATGAAATCATTTGTGGTATTTATTTATTCTGTTAAGGTTTTGCTTCAGTTAAACAGGTTATAATCTTTTAAAAATGTACTTCACATTTACAAAGTTCAGATTTTTGCTTTTCAAAGCAAAAATCTGAACTTTTTTGACAAAAACTTGAACAAAAAATTTTTGTAGATTCAAAACAAAAAGAATGTTTCAAAAAATCAAAATACAGTACACTTTTGCTACTACAAAATTATATAGGAATGTTTGGATTAATAGGGTTATATAAATAAAACAAAGGAAGTAAAAACATAACTATTTATTTATTACATTCTCAATAGGAAGTGTCTAATGGCAATAGATCTCTTCCCCCTTTGTTCTACCCGTTTTATTCACCTGAAGAAGAACTAAGTTTGAAAACGTTTGTGAAAATATTTGGAAATAAGCACTGTTTTGGTTTACAGCAGAAGTAAGTTGCATATTTTTTTTTAAACATTGCCCACTCTTCCTCTACTCCTTGTATTTCTGAGTTTAGAATGTGAATTGAGAGTTCAGTCTGACACTTTTGTTTCATTTCTGGTTCCTTTAACTTCCAAACCTTTATTTTCCTTTCTCTTACTTCCTTCATTTTTGTCATTGCTCCAACACTAAACCTTGCAATGATCAATTTGTGGTCTCCATCAAAAGCTTCATTTGGATCTGCTGTCACATCCAAAAGGTTTCTGTGGTTCTGCTTTTCAATCAGGAAGTAATCAATTTTAGTGATTGTCCTCCTTTCACCCACCCATATTGAGTTATTTTTGAGAATTCTTCATAAACCAGGTGTTTCCAACAAGCATTCCATTCACAGAAATCAATCAATACTTCCCTTCCTTGTTTCTATAGCCAAATCCAAATGGGCCTATAATTTCTTACAGTCCACTTCTTGCCTTCCCTACCTGTGCATTTAGGTCCCCTATAACCATGTCTTTCTTATCTTCAATTACTTCTACTTCCTTTAGGAACTTTTCTAACAGTTCTTCATGTTGCCTGTTTGTGGGGCATAAACCTGGATAAAATCGTTAACTTTTCCTCAAATTTCACTCATATTTTTATTATTCTATCACTGATGTTTTTCATTTCTACCATCATTTCCTGGATGTCTTTCCTAACAATGATTCCTACACCATTTTTCATCTTTGTTCCTTCACTCCAAAAAAACTTATAATCTTCTCTTAGGTCTCTTCCTCCCACTTCCTTTCACTTTGTTTCGCTGAGTCCAAATATAGCAATGTCTTTTATATCATGTACTCCACCAGTTCTATATAATCTATATAAAATTTTTAAGCTTCTTCAATGTTTTCATTTTAAAATGAATTTAAAAATATATAAATTTTTGCATGTTTATTTGTCATTTACTTTATAACATGAAAATAATTTTTTAGTTTAAAAACATCCAATAAACTGATTTTTAGTTTAATGCCAAATGATTGCCAGATTACATTTGGCCTATTATTATAGACCTGTTGTAGATGGTACCTAATGCCTATCTTTAGGCAAAATAACTTGAATTTTAATTAATAATTAGTAGCATTATTATAGTCCAATGTAATCTGCAATCTTTTTTTTTTTTTTTATTAATTAAACTTTAGGTGTAAAATTTCAATAAATATTTTATTTTGGCTAATTGATTTTATATTTTTAAAATATAAAATCTTTTTATGATTACAAACATTTATTGTGCAAAAACTGCTAAGTAGAAACATGGTTTGTGGCTGATTCCTGTTTTTTTTTTTTTTTTTTTAATACATTGCTACACAGACTGGTGGTACTGCAATTGCTAGTACCATATCATGACGGTGTCATTTTAGGACAAAGTTCAATGTGTTCTGTGCTTTTACAAAGCAAAATCAATTATGGCTCAGCAAAACTTCAGAAAAGAGTATAATGATAATTATTAAATGTGAAAAGCATTAAATGTTAGTATGTAAAATTTAAAAAAAGACTTCAGGTCATCAATACTGATATTCGTTTTAAACTTTACACACAAGCCTTTAATGCTTTTCATATCTGGTAGTTTTTCTGAAATTTTGTTGAACCATAATTGGTGATTTTGTTTTAAGAAACCACAGAATACATTGAGTTTCTTTGAAAAAGTCACTTTGTTACTGGCAATTACAATTCTACCTGGACAGTCTTTGCAACAGTATATTTAAAAACACTTCTAGAAATCAGCCTAAATTATGCCACAAATTATGTTCCTTGTCTAGCATAGTTTTTGCACAATAAATGTTTGTAATCAGGAAAAGACTTTATGCCTACCTTGTATAACTAAAGAAATTTGTATTAAGTTTTTAAAAATACATAAAAAACAAAATATAAAAGTTTTAAAATAAAATCAGTACTAATTAGGAATTTTTAAAGACTTATAGCTAGAACTGTTACAGATAACAGTGACAGAGAACAGAATTAGAAATAATTTGAAAGAATGTTTGTAATAGGAGAGAAGACAAAACAAAGGAGCAAACACAAAAATAGTTCCAGTGAATTATGTAAGCTCTTGAGACCAAAACTTTTATAAAATGCTAGGAAAAAAAAATGCCATTAAGAGGAATGTTACAATTTTCAATAAACTGAAGAATGAGAAGAAAAGGCTGAGCAAGAAGGTGGGTGTTTATATGTTACTGACAATAGAGAACAAAGAGATTAAAATAAAGAAGAGACTTAGAGATAAGACTGAAAGAACTGCAGGAAACAAATGATGACAGCTCTAGTTGAGACTGTGTTAACAACAAATTTACTTGTTAAATGAAAATAAATGAAATTATTAAAAATAAAGGAAGGTGAGACTATATTCTAAAAAGCGAAAAGTTATGAATTTGGAGGAAAAGCTTGGATTACATAATACTTAATGTCAAAAATGGAGATGCATTACTGGTCATGTGAAAGTGAGTTATGAGAGATGGACAAAAAGAATAGAAAAGTTAAAAACTCCAAAAATATGATAGTTTTTAACTTTACTTTTCGTTTCCTCCATCTCTCAATTCACTTTCACATGATCAATAATGCATCCCATCTTTGGAATTAATCTTTAAATGATTAAAAATCATTAATAGTTATTTATTAATGTTTAAATCATTTTGAAATGAAGTAGAATTTTGAAGAAGTGAAATTAGTTTTGGTTTATAAAAAATTATAATAAAGAAAAAACAGTTCATAAGGTGATGTTGGTTTTATAACCTTAGAACTCATCTGCTCATGCATATGGACTTCAGCTGAAATTTTGAATTTTAACTTTTTTTTACAATTATATTTTCTGGTGTATTATTTAACTCTAAGATCTGAAAACTCACTCCTCTGTTGCTAATGACTAAATTGTTTTTACCCCTCAGGCTACAAGGGAAACTTGTATAGCAAAACTACTCAAACAGGATTCCTTGTTCTGCCAGTTCTTGAAGGTCATCGTTGATAAGACTCTCATAGGAGAAACTTTTATCATATAGGCGTTAAATTACAAATAAATGTTGCTAGACCAACAAGCACTTTCGATAATTATTTTCGTCTTCATCAGGTCCTTAAAAATGGTTAAAAGCCTATATGATAAAAGTTTCTCCTATTAAACAGTCCGTGTACTGTCCACTTCTCTATTATAGATAAGATTCTCACCAGAAAGCTGTGATAACTCCTCAATATCCTGTTCGTCTACATCTCCTAGTCCTGCTGTTCGATTAGATTGACAATTTGGTCAACGACGACAGGATCTTCTCATTTGTGTTCATAAATAATCATATTATGTACGAATCAATAAAATGCCATGATAATTTAAATTGGCGTAAATTTTTAAAATTTTTTTAAGGCTTCGAGCAGACAGCTTTATATCGAATCAGCATTAAGTGAGGCAGCATTAAGCAGGGTCTTACTGTATATATATATATTTTGAATTATTGATAAAATTTTTATTTTACTTATAATCAAATCATCACTTGCTTCCTTTCAATACCTATTCTTGATCTACAGTCTTAATTTAACCTTTTAGATTGAAAAATTTTTGTAAATACGATTAATATATTCTTTTAGTCAAAACAGTAAAGTTAGAAAAATGATTGAAAGAACTAAATTGTCGATCATTAGTTATTAGAGTTTCGTAAGTATTAGAGATAAATATTATAAATGAATTCTCAAATTCTCTTTGAATTTTCCCTTTCTATTCAATATTATCAGATTAAATAGTGTAATGCCATACTTTTTTAACAGGATTAGTTCAATGCCTCTATTATACTAAGCTCTCCAACAAATACTGATTTTCTAAAACACAGTCACTTTAAGACCAATGTGAAATTGAAAATTTAAGACAAAAACAAACATTATTTTTACTAAATACTATTTTAAAACAAATAGAACAAACAAATAAAATTAAGCTAATTCATGGATAAATTTTATGTACTGTACCTTATACATGTATTATGCATATTAAATATTACGCATGTAAACATATATATATATATATGTATTAATAATATGTAACGTACAACCATCTGATATTTTTGGAGATCAAGATGTAAAAATTCTCATAATTTTAATACTTTCCAGCCCATCCTCGGGGATCCAGGAAAATGATTACGTATAGAAGGAATGCTTTGTTATTTGGTTCACTGAAGTATGAAAAAAGGAAGAGATATTTTGACAATAAAAGTAGATTTTATATAGTATGAATGGAGAATGGTGGAAAGAATTATGTGGAGGTGATGAGGAATACTAGTAACTTTGAAACTAGACTGAAGGAACACAGGGAGACTGCAAGAGGATCACTACAGCATTAGAAGAGCAGACTTTGAGGGTTAACATCAAATGGATGAAAGCTAGAATATTAGATGTGAGAAACAAGAAAAAATAAGTTGCACAGAGAAGATAAAAATTTAAAAGTTAGAGTCAAGGTGGTAAAATGAGGGATGGAGAATCCTTGGTATCTGTGTGGAAATAGGTAATAAAGAACTGGTTAAATTAGAAAAAAGGGGAAGTGATATTAAAGAATAGATTTTATTTCCTAGTTTGTAAGTAATGAAGGATCATAGGAGTAAATGGGAGACCAAAGAAGGATTATTCAAAATGAATATGAATGGATGATCATTTTTCTAGGGAGAAAAAGGGAGTAAGTGATTTCATAATTTGACAGAGGGTGAAGTTGGTTGGGCATTAATGAGAGATGTGAAGTGGCATGTGTTTACAATATACAATGTTGGAAACAGAATTGTATTTTTTATAAAAGAATTAGGTTGATATCACTGAAGATGGGCTGGAAAGCCCAAAAGTAGTAAGATTTAACAAAAATTTTTATATTGATCTACAAAAAAGCATATAGCAATATGTGTTTGAGAAACTTAGAGAAACAAATTTGTTTTATTTTTCCACATTTAACACATTTACACTCTACACTTTCACCACAAATGTATTGTATACAAAATTATTTGTACAGAATACAATTATTATTTATTATATTTTTCTATCTATGATGATGATGATGATAATAATTTGTTTATAATTTAACATTTTTATAATAACTAATCTTTATTAAAAAGTAAAATAAGATCATCATCATATAACACATTATAGATTTGTGATTACTGATAATGTAAACAAAACAGTTTTTTGTAGGAAGAAATTAGATGTAGAAATATTTGACACAACTTAGAAACAATGATGATATTTTGAATAATGACAACAGTTTTCTTCTTTTATTTTTTATGCAGTTTATAATTAAATTATTTATTATATTAATCTGCATTCAATTCCTTATGTCAAATTATAGCTGAGAAATGGGTATTATTTAATAGTTACAACTGCATCAAGAAAGTAAAAAGGGTCTGACTAATAATTTCTCAAAATCAAAAAATCATTTGGAAATCATTAAGATATATTCTACCACTTACAGTAATTAATTGGTATGTAAACAGTTATAAATAGTCTAGCTTACTCATATATGCATGCTCTTTTTTACTTTTAATTACTGCATTGCATATGAATTTATATTAATAGAGTAGGTCCTCAATTTTTCAGATAAAAAGTTTGCTGTAAAAGAAACCTTACATTCTTTAAGTAACAAAAAAAAAAGGTGATGAAAACATTCAATTAGTTATATAGTATAGTTTTTGATCTATTTAATTAAAATAAAATTTAGTCCAAAAATATCAGCACCTCCTACAATACTCTTAAATTTGAAAATCCTTTTATTTATTTATTTCTAAATTCAATCATTTGATAATTTAAAGTTTTCACTTCTCCAAATACCTTTTGAATTAATTAATTCATATTATCAAAAGTGTACTGATATAAGTCAACTATTCTGACTTCTTAAATGGCCGGCCCACCAATGACCAAGTGAATAAAATTATCAAACACACTGGTAATTGGTCACAGATTCACACCTGACCAATGGACTGGCCGCATGGAGTTTTTCAGGTTTTATTTATGTACTTAACATTGAAATAGGAGTAAGTTTCCTTAGAAAGTCTTTCCGGAAAGCACTCCCTTGGCAGATAGCCAGGGCCATCAAGAGCTTATATACAACCCACAGGAGTAGAGCAGGCCTCTTTTGCAAGATGAAATACCAAAAATGTTTTTTTATTAACAAAAAAACAGCCTTAAAGATTTGATAGTAAAAAATAATACTAATTTATATGGATATGATTCTCATAAATCTAGGGATCCCTAAATTTTTCCACACCAGAGGAAAAATTCCTAACTCCTCCCTCTCAACAGCCCATAGTGGCCCTCACACTGCATTGCCTCATCCCATGAAATCAAAACCAATTCCTTAAATTATCAGTACCAGAAATTTAACACAATTATTTGATATTATTTTATTTAAGAATTTCTTATTTCTCTTTTTAATAGTGTAAAATGTACTAATTGTAAAGAACTTTGATAATTTGAAAAACAATCTTTCTATTACTGTAAAATCATAATATTTTCTATTCAAACAATAACAACAACATAAATGTCTTCCAACATTTGTCATAACATAAAATAGACACATAAACATAAATGTTTGTGTGTCTATTTTATGAATTATTTATGCATACATATGCAAATAAATTAAATGTGATGATCTTATACATACATTTGTTAAATATAAATAATTATTTAAAATTATATAACCAAATATCTTACTCAGCTCCTTAAATAATAAATCATTGAACACCTAATGCTGAGAAAAACCACATCAGGTATTCGATGTGGTTTTTCTGAAAAACTTATTTGTTTTACAAAATAATTATATAAATATTTTGTAAAACAAATGATTTAAATCAATAAAGAAAATTTTGCAAAAACATGCAATCAATCTTATACATAAATTAACTTTTTACTGTCATGACTAAGTGCATAGACAGACACTGGCATTTCTGGCATCAGTCTTTATTAGGAAATATCCTGTTGGCCGAGATGTGTTACGAGCATGAGCCCCTCTTCTGTCGGCATTATTTCCAAGATATTTTGTAAGGTGGTGTTAACTGGTATACATCTTGTTTAAAATTACTTATTTACAGTTAAAAATATTTTACTGTTAAAAGTTACTGTTACCGTTTTACTGTAACACCACCTTACAAGACATCCTGAAAGTCAGTCGACACTCTTTTGGAACCACATTTTTGGGCTTATGCCCGAAATGCATCTCGGCCAACAGGATATTCCCTAATAAAGATTGCTGTCAGAAATGCCAGTGTCTGTCTATGCACCTAGTCGTGACAGTAAAAAACAGATAAAAGGAGACACGGTTTCAGAATACAAAACATAAATTACAATTAAATATAGACTAATTTTGTTATATATTTTAAAAACTAAAAAAATATTTCTTACAAATTTCTCATAAATTTTTATATTAACCAAAGATGCAATTAAAATTAAATAACAGTCAAAATACCTAAAATAACAACCCTTAGATACAAAATAATTGCATTACATGCATTTATTTTGCACATAAGGGTTGCAATATATTTAAAAATTATTATTTATATATTCTACCAGATACTAAAACGGCATTATCCGAATTTAGTTACACAGTTTTTCTTAAGAGTCAACATTAAATATATAACATTTACATTGAAATTATATACAAAATTATTTTTCAATAACAAGCAAAATATATATAAAATCATTAACTTACTTTTCATAATATATTAAATAGCTCACATCATTTGAATTTCAAAGATTTATATATGTGATGTAGACATTCTTTCCATCAATTCAACGTTAAAAATAACTTTGTACGATATTTAAAATCGATGAATATACATTTTTCGCTTCATAAATGTCGCAGTTTTCTTCAAAAAGTTTCATTAGAAATAATTAATATAAAAAAAAATTCTTTCTTGCATATCAAAAGCACCGAATACAACAAAACTCGAATCGAATATAAACTGTGGTAAAGCAAATAAAATCTATTTTAATCTTTCCAGTTCATAATGTAATCTCATGTTGAGTTGGAAAACTTGATGGAGAACAACTAGAGGTTTGGCGGTAAACAAGTAAATACATCTAAAAACAAACAAAAAAGTAGATCTATTATATGTGTAGCTTCATATGTATTTACAAATGTATACAAATTACATTTTAATATGAAAAAATGTATTGAATTGTGAAAGCGTTGGTGCCTAAATGTCATATAATTGTGACGTAATACAATGCTTATATCGAGTATATATTAAGAATATTTCGGTGGATTTGTCGCGCAGAAGATTTTTTACTAATAAAAACTGATATACGATACCCAAATAAGCGATGCGACAGAATATTTCCATCAGAAATCATAACAAATTTACGAAAACAGACGAAGTGCGATCGTCTGAAATGTTACGAAAAATGTTTACAAATGGAGCGAAATTAGCTTTTATATTTTTCATTAATGGAAATAATAATATTTCTCTAAATGTAAAATTAGTAAATTTATGTATATAACATTTTTTTTTTAAATTAATACTTATTTTATTAGTCGGAAATTATTTGATGACGTCACTGTAAATGCGGAATTTTCATAACATGTTATATATGATAACGTCGATAATATTTTATAAAAATGTTTTAAATTGATAATAAATAAATTAAACTATATTATATTTTTACTGTATTCGAGTTTTAAAATACGTGTTTGATATTTATTGGCCAGTTCGGTTATCTTAATTTCGTATAAAAATTTTATGAATCGATTCCTTTTTATTGTAATTGTTGCCAACTATCCGGTTTTGATTTGAACTTCTGGATTTATTTTGACTCCGGGCTCCGGGTTTAGTTGTTATTTTACCGGGTTTTTAAATTATATTATGTAATTTAAATTTTTTTTTCGAAATTTCGTTATTACATTTTTTATATAGAATTTGTTTTAAAAACGCATTAATTTTATTTAAATAACAAATATATATTTTAACTCTTTCCGCCCTGTGGGCACTAAGAGGCAGTGGCGTAGCGTAGTGGGGGCGGCAGGGGCAGCCCGCCCCGGGCGGCACTTTTAGGGGGCGGCAAAATTTCATAATAAATAATAATATCTTGTAAAAATTTGAACCATTTCATTTCATATTTTTTTCGCGCCTACGATTCGGACCGATTGAAATAAGCACGGAATTTTTCATTACTTATTCTGTGACAAAACTGAATTTTAGTCTTTTAAATTGAGATACCTAAATAAGGGGGCGAAATTTTCCTCCGCCCCGGGCGGCTGACACCCACGCTACACCACTGTTAAGAGGGACTCCATTAGCAAGCTCATGAGTTCGGCCAGGATTACAATGGAGCGGTCGGGTGGTGAGGGACGGGATCAAACTTAGGACGGACGCCCCGCCCAAAGGTCGGACGGACCCCCCAAAAAAACTCCTGGGGATTTTTCGACCCGTCTGGATTCGATTCCGAGTACCCCAGAGCGGTAGGCTGCCACCTTGACCGCTCGGCATCCGGCCGTCGAATTCGTAAAGTACTTGTCGGTCTTGATAGATTTTGTTATATTTCATCTTGGCAATCAGAGTCGAGTCTCTGTTTACACAGACGTCTAGACTAGAGGTGGAAGATCCAGTTTCACGGCTGAAACTGGAACTGTTGGAACTGATCCGAGTATGGCTGTTCCGTCCCTCAACACCCGGCCACCCCATTGTGGGCCTGACCGAACCCATAAAGGGCTTGCTTAAAGAGGTCCTCTTAGTGCCTACTGGGCGAAAAGTGTTAGATCAAGAACACAAATGCGTAAAATTGTGTGACAGAAAACTGAATCAGAAATCAGCTTTCGGTTCAATTTCTGTTTTACGCTTTTATGCTAGAACACATACGTAAAAATTCTGGCCGAATAGGAAACGCCACTGCCACTGACAGTGCTACATTTCATTATTATTTTTTCTCTGCTGCCCAGTAGCGGAGCGTAAGTGTCAGCCGCCCGGAGCGGAGGAAAATTTCGCCCCCTTTATTTAGGTATCTCAATTTAAAAGAATAAAATTCAGTTTCGTCGCAGAATAAGTAATGAAAAATTCCTTGCTATTGTTGCCACTTTTTAAAAATCGCTGACCCGGACGGCAGGTGAGGTTTGTTCGAACAGAAGTTCCTGACGCACGCGTATGTCGTCATTTTGCAATGCGAAGAATAATTTGCAGTGCATGCCGGTTCTAAATCAGTTACAATTAGCGACTAGGGAGACTTGGATAGGAGTAACGCGAGTGATCTAGCTCTATTGGATATTGAAGGTGTGTATATATACGAATAAATCGTACAAGAAAAAAAAAAGTTCGACAAGTTGCGCACGACATCCCCGGACGGCGAGTCGATTCCTTACTGTCCGGATGGTATTCCGTGCTCATTTCAATCGGTCCGAATCGTAGGTGCACGAAAATATGAAATGAAATGGTTCAAATTCTTACAAGATATTATTATTATTTATTGTGAAATTTTGCCTTTCCCTAAAACGTAATTTTGCCGCCCCCACTACGCTACGCTACTGCTGCTGCCTCTGCTATAATTTAGAAAATTTAAATTAATAGACTAGAATTCCGAATTGAAATAACGTGTGATCTAAATACCATATATCGATTCTACCAGATCTACCTATTATTTGAAATTTAGCACCTATGGCTGTCCATAAAATTTGTTTAAATACAGTGTCTTTATACGTGTCACTTTTTTTGTCATAAAGACACTGATATGGTCAAAAGGATTCAATAAAGTCTTCAATTTCATTTATTTTTCGTTTTTTGGAAACCGTCACAATTGTAGGGGTAACTGCCATTGCCGTCACAAAAAAGGCCTCTTTATTGGAGGAATTTTGGCATAAAAATTTTACGTATGTAAAAAGTAGAGACATGCTCTACTCTTTTTTCAGTTATTTTTCAGTCAAAATTTCAGAACAATTTTTACGCTTTTTGTTTTATATTAGATTTTACGCATGTGTGTCTTGGCTTTAAGAAAAAAGTACTTTATCAACGCTTTTCGAAATATTGTGCTTATCATATAGGCGTTAAATTACAAATAAATGTTGCTAGACCGACAAGTGCTTTCAACGATAATTATTTTCGTCTTCCTCAGGTCATTAAAAATGGTTAAATTCCTTTTTTTGANCTATAATAATTAAATTATATTATATTAATAAATTTTTGTCATTTAACTTAACTTAAGAATATTTAAACACTAATTCTTAAATGCTTGAATATCAATTAATGCGGTTTTTATTAATTAATTTGATTTAAATTCGATTGTGGCGCATACAGAAACGGAAATAGTATATTTCATGCATGCGCATTGAAATGTAATTTAAATAGCAACGTCATCGATGATTTCTTAAGTGACGCGAGGCGATCTCGGCACCACTAACTTCTGAATCAGTAGTCCTGTCTTTGATTGGTCAGGTCAGAATTTCTTCAATACAGGAAGTAGCCTATAGGGAGTTCGCCCTCTGCGGTTGGTTCTTGCCGAGTAGCTTGTTCGGAAACCGAGTTATCGTACGGCAACCGTATCAAATATGGTGTTCAAATTTTTGTTCGTAAACAGGGACGTTCATAACCCGAGGTTTGATTGTAATTGAAATATTGTGAACATTTAAATGAAAACACTTGATTTGCACTTCGTCCACAACGAATTTTCTGTATATTGGTACTGGCGGTAGCGGTACGCAAAATTTTATTCTTAAATTTCAGCAACTCTGAACTGTTTGCCACGTATTAACGTGAAGTTACGCCACTGGTACTATGCAGTATTAGCTGATCGTTGTTTTATTTGTTAATAAATTTGTTTCGAAATTTGCCACAAATGTAGTCCAGTCTGTTAGGATCTGAATTAATATACTGTAAGGTCTCTTTTTATGCGATTTTGAAGTTGTGCGGTTTGTATTTCATCCAAAAATTTCTTGGACAAACATATATATAGGCTTGTTTAGGAAGCCCGCGTATAGACAGTCTCCAAAAATCGTGGAACGCTCAAAGCTCACTCCATTTGTTCGGCTGACATATAACGTTTATGGATGTAAAGGACAACTAGATCTACCTTAATCCCTTTAGTTCCTAGCAATTTTTGATATAAATGTAATTAAACATAAAAAATACTTAAAACTGAAAAAAACGAAAGAAATGCATTAATTTTGGAAAAAAAGCTTCAAAGTTTAACTTCCTTTGTCTCGCCCTTCTGTGAAATTTAACACCGATGAGTCATTGTTTACACATCTGGATGACCTTGAACACAGCTGGAGTTGGATTTCCCGGGGCATTCTGATAGACGTCGCGGGAGGATAAGGGTTTAAAGTAGGGTGAACGGTAGCTGGCCGTATATTTTTAAATATTTTTAAAAAATTTGGAGACTTAAAAAACATTCCAAAAATTCAAAAAAAAATTAAGGACCGTATTTTGTGTAACGCTATGTAACCTGCCCGAGTTAACTCGGGTGTGGAACTAAAGGTGTTTAATTAACTCTTCACATCCAGATGTCAGTGATTTGTTTTTAGAGTGAGCTTTTGCAATTCAGGGATTCCCCTTGTATTACTTTTCAATAAAATAAACTGAATTAAGTTTGAATACAAGTTTATTTTAAGCTTTTATATGAATTTCTTTCAGACATTCGAAGTAATTTATTAAGCAGCCTATTTCTTTTAATTTCTGCAAACTTTTTAATGCGGTTTTAAGTTGCAGTTCTAATGGATCACCAAGGCGATCCAGAACGTGATGTGGGTAAGAATAAATGAGGACTGTACAACGAAAATTAGAGAACAAAAAAAACTCAAATCGCTCACGATGAATGTTACAGACGAATTACATAGCAGATCCACCACCCCGACATTTCATATAGGGCAGTCTCCTTTGTGAGTGGACATCCGATTGGAGCTGCGACCACGTGGAACGAAAAAAATCCTCCTTGGACTGAAATAATGGGCCACGAAAAACAGTTTGATGATGTTCTTTTACCCAACCTTAGTTAGATAATTCCCCGACGCATACCGAGTCCGATGTAACCCGATTCCTTCACTTAGTTCAATCCACTCTAAATTGCCGGTTCTTGTCCATATCCGGATCGAGTCCTGACGTCCTTCGTCCGTTTTGTCCCTCGTCTTTCGTTCCGCCGTCTAGAAATCACACAGAAGCAAGCCAAACTCCCGTCTTTCCTCACAGGTCGCTCTTTTTATAACTTCCTATAAGCTCCTCCCTTCACCTCCACGTGGTCACCAAAGGGGCCAATCAAGGCACCGACAAAATCCACCATAAGGTGGCGCGCGATACAAAACTTTGAAAAGAACAAACAAAGAACCCGAACAAAGGTGTGACAACACATAGTATATAATAAAAAAGAAATAAAATAATACACGTGCCTAGCACTAAAAAGTTAATTTTAACTCGTTGTTTTGGTTTTATGCAATTTTAGAAAATTACGGAACGTATCCCTACTTTTTCAAGGCAAGTAAAGTCTTTTTTTATGCGAATTTTTTATATGCGCTTTTCTGTAGAACGTATCCACCACATAAAACGAGATCTTACAGTATATATCCAGCATCGACTTGTGTAACAACTTTCCGGGAGTAACTTTTAATACAGTCGACCCCCCTATAACACGGTAGATACGTTCCGTTCTTTATGAATCCATTTTGTACGAGTCCTTGCCAATCACAGCCCGACACGTGTGAAGTTTACGGACTACTGCTGTTTGAAAGGTTTTCTTCCATAAAATTAATCGATTCCTAGACTAATTCGACTTAATATTTCCAAAATACGTATATTTTTTTGGGGAATAATCCGTATAAACTATGCTATAAACAAAAAATTGTAGGATTACTTACCAAGTTGCACCGTTGCTTAAGCTTGTTTTCGTCGCGAAGCAGCGCACCAAACGGCGGCCGCGATTTCTGATAAGTTATTTTTCTGCGAAAACTTCGTTGAACTTTGGAGACATCATTAATATAAATAATTTTAATGGCCGTTGAATAAGAAATGTTTCTTTCACAAGAAATGTATAAAATTAGTGCTGTATTAGACTTACGGTACCTAATTTACATACTGTACAGACGATAGTAAATTCAACTTACTCGCCTAAACTCTCCGTAGCGTGGCGCTGGACGGCAGAAAGTAGTTCGGCTGCCCGATGACGTTTTACCGAATTATAGGAGTTTTATTTTACCATGTTTGTACGGATACTGTCGCAATTTTTTCGCCGTCATATAGGAAACCGAACTATAGGAACCCGTGTTATAGGGGGGTCTACTGTATTTATGTTTAAGAAACGCATAACAAAGTATAAAATTTTGCTTGGCGTCATCTATTTTGAGCTTTTATTAAAAAAAAATGTATATCATTAATTATAGAAATTTTCGAAACAAATACATATATTTTTTTTGGTAATTACAAATTTGTACGAGTAAATGAAATTTCATCACTTAGAAGCTTTTTGAGATATGCCTTCATCCCCTTAATATCTTCCAAATTTGACTAATTTTTCTGAAAATTTCTAGAAACATTTCTCCATAATTTTCAATCTTCCCTGCAAAATTTCAGAAATTTTCGAGAAAAGGCATGGGAGTTATCAAGCTTCAAAGATGAAAAAACATCATGCTTCTCCACACACTAACATCCATAATCCAGAGAAGCTATCATCTGTTATATTTCTTGACGTCCCGTATCTAAAAATTTAAAAATCTTGGAGTCAGTTTTTTTGACCGATCGCCATACTTTCCCTCTGTTATATAACAACCAGGAAAGTAATATCAAATGTTTTCTGTGAAGCCAAAGTGTATAATTGCCGACTGTCAGTTTCTTCAAGGTTATCTAGTTACGTTGAGTTGGTCCGATCAATTCACACGACCATTGAAAGTGATCCGTATGGAAAGCTCTACGCTATTTGAGGCGGGACGTCTTCTTTTTACAGACATACGCCAAAAAACTCTTGTGTGAAAGTATACCTTCAAAACACAAACATTTCAATAGGGAGATAAATAAATGCGTCTGATTGGAACCATTCCAATGCGTCTATTCATCTCACTATTGAAAACTTTGTATGAAAGTAGTTTTAAGACATTGGGATGTTTTAAACCACAACTATCTGTATAAATAATTTAATAGTAGTTTACATTTTATTAGTAATATAAACATTTCAAAAGGGACAAGTAAGCTACATCATATAGGCCTATATAAGCCTACTACGAAGAAAAATAAGTCTTATATATATTTAATAATGAAATACATTTAAAACTATTATTGTTTTATTCAATACTTTTTAAGAAATTTATAATAGTGAGGAAAGAAATCTAATTTTCGATATAATGTTACAGGCTTAATTAACGGAGAGGGTTTATTTCATAACCTATTATGAATTACGAGTGCAGTTTAAATTATATTGATCGACGACGAAAACACTTTCATCTGTCTCTTTTTGAAAACCATCCTCATTTACACAATAACACATGGAATCAATGCATTGTCTTGGTTCGAAGCTACCCATTTTATTGCACTTGTACTTTTTAAAATACTCAGCAACTTGGTCTGCATTTTCACTCTTTGCTAAAAGTTCTTTTTCCCTTAAACATCCTGAAAATAAAATCATCTTAAAACCTAGTTGCACTATAACAGTGTACTACAAAATTGAACTTACTGCACATATGTTTAGGTTGTTTTGAGTATCTCGGAACTTCTGTATTTATGGGATCTCCAGTGAAAGGATCACGTTTAATAGGATCACCTTCTTTCGTGACACAAAAACATCTACAACAAAATAAGCCAGATAATTAGGAATTAGAAATAAACAGAAAATGAAAATTAAAATATTAAAGCTAATTTTAAAAGCTTTGATGTAGCTTACTTGTCATTTTTACATTGTACAGGAGCAAAACTTCCATCAACATCACATTCTGGAAGGTCAAAACCAATAACATAATCGTAATATTTAGAAGTGTTTGCTATATTTTGTTTCATACTTCTTAGTAATTTAAAACAAGGAGTACTAAAATGACGATCATGTTTTCCTTCTATAACTGAAATAAATTTTAAAAAACGAATTTACAAAATTTATTTATAGACTAAAATTTTTATTAAAATTGTTTTGTTATTAAAAACAAATTTTTGTTTTAAAACTGTATTGTATAGATCTGGAAATTAGTCTACTATTATAATATATTTATTACATATTTAAATAAATTTTAAATGGCCACTCACCTAGAATTTCAGTGAGAATCTCATAGAAAGTTTTCTAAGTATAGTATATAGTCGACCCCCCTATAACACTGTTGATTATTCCGTTCTATATGAATTCCATGTTGTACGAGTCACTTAGATTTTACAAATACGTGAGCCGTTCACAGCCCGTCACACGTATTTGTAAAATCTAAGTGACTCGTACAACATGGAATTCATATAAAACGGAATAATCAATAGTGTTATAGGGGGGTGACTGGTATATCAAATTCTAAACTACACAGAATTAACTAAAATAATTATTATTCGAAACTGTTAAATTCGAACTTATATTTTGATTTATTGTAATTGCGTTTGACTTAGTTTAATTTATTTGGCTTCCAGTTTTAAAAGAAATTTTTAAAAATATGCATTTGTATTATTCATAAGAAAGAACTGCACCAATGACTTTTGATGTTTGAAATAAGGAATTTCAAAAATATTTTAAGTTATGCGGATATTAATGTAAACATTCTAAACTTTTAAATAAGTCATTAACAACAAGATGCCTAATATGAATTACGGCTCAATTTTTCATATCTAAAAATTTTGATAAAATTTTAATGTAATTTACTTAGATCTAGTAAGTAAAAAAAATTATGTTCAAAATTTACGCTTATTCAAATTAACGCGGCATTTCATTGATTCATATATATTACGATTATTCCCGAACACGAGCCAATCAGCAAAAGGTAGCAATTCGTCGTAACGCTGTACTTTCCTTAATTCTATGTTTATTTTGTGCAATTTTGGAAAAAATATAACATCATGGATTCCATAGGCAATATCGGTTTCGCTTGGCAAGAATTAACTGATAAATGCACGAACGAAGTGTGGAAGAAGTTGTGGCTGAAGGTATCCAAGAATTCTCAACGAGAAGAACCTATCTTTGTATCGTTAGGTTGACCAAATTGTCAATCTAATGGATACAACAGGACTAGGAGATGTAGACGAGGAGGATATTGAAGAGTTACTGCAGGTTTCTGGCGAAAGCCTCATACCAACGACCTTCAAGAACTGACAGAACAAGGAATTGGTGTAGAACTGGAAAATATAAATTCTGAAAACGAAGAACCCAAAGAATTTCTTTACAGATTTCCTTAGCAAAAGTTTAGTAACGATAACCGGAATCGCTGATCAAATTGTAGCGAATGATCCAGATTTTGAAAAGAATGCAAAAGCGAGATGAGGCGTTTTGGGTGCGATCTCCTGATACCGACATTTGCTTAGGGAAAGAAAAAGAAAGCGACGAATGAAACTACACGACTTTATCGTAAAAAACAAGAATTTCAAAAGAGCCAGGACCTTCGTCACAAAAAATGAACTTTACATTTCTGTGTGCATATTTTTATGTGTTATTTAACATATATTATTATGCAAATTATTATAAAAATATCTTAAAATTAAAGAAAAATCTGTTTATTTTTTGTTCGCGTGTTCCCCTTTCCCTATTTACTCTATATTAAAATGACCTCGTTTAACGCTGTTTCGTTTAGCGCTTTGTCGTCTAGGAGCGTTAAGCAGGGTCTTACTGTATATTGTATTTATAATTCTGGCAGTAGAAAATTTAAAACTATTAAAGAACAAAATTATAATAATCACAATGTTTTTTATAAACCAAAAATGAACAAAAAATAAATATATGAATTTAGATTTTCGACTAGATTAAAAGTATTAAATTGTTAAATACTGTTCTACTAATATTAATATGAGATTTATAGTGAAACTAAAAACAAAAATTTCAGATATTTTTCTTATATTAAAAACATTATCATCATCAGGAATGCATTAATGGTTAAAATGAACATAACATTTAAAACGTATAGGTATGTTTTTATGTAACATAGCAATGTTACATAAAAATTGAAAATATTTAATAAAATGTAGGGATCTTTTGCTTAACGTCAGTAATCCGTTCCTGACAATCAGACGTTCTACGGAAAACATTAAACGGAAGCTTATTTCAATTATTTTAAATGAAAACAAGTGTGAGGATCCGAATGGGAGTCCATTGGGAGGTCCGAATGTGGGGTAACAATCGAGAAATTAACGATTGCCTTTTCATACGCTTGTAAGAGGAATTGAAGATCTCTATTGAACAATGGAAGTTTTTGATGTTATTTGTTAAAACAATAGAAGGGACTAAAGTCGAGGAAAACGCGACGGGAGAGGAGTCGTATTCTGTCGCGATGTTGACCCCTCTCGCACCCTCCATCGGGTTTCGAATTGTCATCAGATAACGATGAGTGATCAATGGAGAGGCGCCTTTGGATGAAAACTTTATAAAACAGCGCGTTTCAAGGACATTCGGAGTTCTTGGTTCATAGTGCTTTCCTCTTGGATTTTGGTGCTCCTGTCCTTCAACTACGAAGGCTTGTTCGACACCCTAGTTTTCGCAATCCCGTCCCAAGATTCGCCCAGGTACAACTGGTCATCGGAGGTCATCTCTGCAAGTTGTGCTGTGTGCCCGGGGCCGTCGCTCTCCTCATCACCTTCGCCGGAAGAAATGAAACGACCGCCGGAACATTTGGACTTTTTGAACTGGCTTGTTTCCCACAGTTGGATAGGCATTACGCCTCATTATATGAATAGTTGTAAGGAAATTTATATATATGTTAAACGATTTCAAATGGTAAACCTGTCACGGCGAGTCTTTCCACGCGCACACGACTATTCTGACCGCTCGACTGTCGTGACACTTTCCACCCAATGGGCAAACCTCACACAAGCGTTACTGCTACAACGTCAATCCAAAACACCCAAGTAATTTTCGAAAATGCAACTAAAACACAATACAACTCCTATTTATAAAATACAATCTATCATTTAAGGATATAGAATATTTAATACACCTCTTTATGATCCACCAAACAGATAATGTAGCTAGTAACAAGTAGTATTATTACGTAATATTAAGAAGCAGCTATTGATCAGTTTCATATAAATGGAAAAAAAATCTCTCTTATATGTAGTTAAAATATAAAATAATTCATGCTCGAACATTAGTTTAAAACATAAATAAATAATGTATACTTACAACACTTCAGTCCTTCAACAACATTGTCTCTAGATACAACTTCTTTTTCATTTAGACAATAGCACGAATCGTCGGTACATTGAAAATTATCGTAATTTCCATTCGCTTCACAACGGAGAAAATATGTCACGTCTTCTAATCTATCTTTTATTTCATCGTAATCTCTACTACAGTCTGAAAATTAATTATATTTTATGTAAATTATAGAGAAAACACATTTCATTTTAGTTACAATAAAATTAAAATGATAAACATTTAAGGGAATAATTAGCTGCATTTCATGTTACTAGATGGCAGTAGCATAAGAAAATAGCTGATGACTCAAATTTCCAGATTTAGAAAATCAGGTTTAAGTCTGATAAAAAGCTATTGGATAGTGTTTACATTTATTTATTAAATAAAATGTGATAAAGTTTTGGGAAACGAAATGAAAAAAAAAAAAGAAAAAAATAAAAGAAAATGAAAAATTGAGAAATTGATTATCATTTACAGAAATAGACAAAAATATGTTCACATATTTTATTTACTAAATTATATTTACAGCGTATTCCACTCTATATTATTTAGAAAAAAAATATTGCTTTGCACATTCAGTTTTAAATAAGAGAGAGCAGTCCAATATATACCCGAATAAATTATATTGGAAAAGTTTTGTAATATTGTTTTGTAATAAAGTGTACAGTAATATTGTATTTACTGTAGATAAATTTTTATTAATGATAACATTTTTTAAACATAAAAATAAACTTTTGATATTTGTATTTGTTCATATAAGACAAATAGAAACTGTAAGATGTAAAATCATCAAAAAGTATTATTATTTACTTGAATTCTGTTGTTTACTAGCTATATAACCTGTCAAAATAGGCGGAAAAGAAATGAAAAAAAATTTTTTTATCCAAAATTCAAACAACTTTATTAAACTATGGAATTTCTTTTATTACAATGTTTTTCGTAAAGACTTTTTCACCCGTAATAATTTGGCCCACAATTGTTGTCCGGAAATTGGATATAGAATATTTTTTAAAACGTTATAGTTTAATCATTAAGTTTTAATAGATTGTTCTAAAGAAAAAACTGGAAATTCAAATGAGGTTTCCTTAAAAATGCACTTTCTATCGGGGACGAAAACTGCAATGGCGAAAAGAGGTTCGGCCGAACCAGGTCCGGAGTCAACAGGTATTCAAACGTGTCGAGCAAAAAGCCACCCATGATTAAAAAAAAAAATGTTTCGGACATGAACGAATGATCTTTTTCTCAGTCAATGGAAAAGTCAGTATTCGAATTTCGAACCACAATCCGGAATGAAGCTTTTCCGCTTCTGGGCAAAAATTATCTGACAGTCTTACTGAATGAAAAATTATGTATGGAAGACAAAATTGTCTGAATAAGTGAACATTACAAGTATATTTGAATAAAAGGAGCCATTCTAAAAAGACAAATTAGAGGAAATTTTTCTAAATAGTATCCGAAAGGAAGACAAGTTCTTATTTTGGAGAATGTTCTCCTTTTATAAGCAGAGCTGTGGAAAGGAGGGAGATGAGAATTTTTCCTGGGTCCAGGACCGGCGCTACTGTATGGGCAAAACTGGGAATTTGCTCAGGATGGCAAATGACTAAGGCTGCAAATCTTCATAAATTTATATAAAATTTTCAGGTGTATTATTCTTTAATATATTTTTTAAATTTTTATTTATATTACATGGCGCAGTTGAATATTGATTGACAGCAAAAAGCCACCCATGATCAAAAACAATGTTTGTAAAAATCAGAAAAAAGTATGGCATTTCATAAAATTTTTTTTCTTTTTATGTAGGGTTCAATTTCATGTAGGTAGATTTTCAACCGGTGTGACGCGAAAAATTTTGAAGGTTATAAAATAAATTATTTTCGACAGAAGCCCAAAGAACAATAAGTGTACATGTTAAAATCAAAACCTCTTTAAATTGATTATATTAATTTTTTATTGTTATAATAAATAAACGTATACAGTAAGTGTCAAAATTCTCCCAATGCTGGTACGTACTATACAAAAAAAGCAAAAACTATTCGATGTGCGAAAGTAAAAGGAAAGGGAAATAAATAGGTTGTAAGATTATTATAATATTCAAATAATAGTAAAAAATTTAAATAATTTTCATATTTTTAAAGTATCTATGGTGTTTGTTGCATTAGGAAGATTTTGACACATAACTTAGTTCGTTACAACATCAACTTCAAACAATATAATTTCATGCATATTAACGAGATATTAGCGTATAAATATGCAATTAAGTTGCTACTTCATATGAGTCATCATGAAGAATCTTTCCAGCGATCTTCGTTCCTAAACACTAGGAGTTCAGGATGGGTTCGTGCTTCGCTCGGACGGACTGGCCACGTGGAGTTTTCCGGGTTTTCTCCACGTCTATAACGTCTGAATAGGGGCCAGTTTTTCTTAAAAAACCTCCCGGAAGGCATTTTTTCTCCGCGCGTGTGTGGCCATTCCACCTATAAGGCCGGCTCATCGGACGCCTAGCGTTCACGACCTCGCTCTCTCGGAGTATAGAGCCTATATTTGCTGAACATTCCATATCAACCAATGAGAGAAAGAAAGAAAGCTTTCCAGTGAGAAAAAAACTCTGTATTATAAACCTGCTGAAGAAAAGTTTCTGTTGAGAAAACAGCATTAGAAGTTGACGTTGGAGTGCATGCAGAATTAAAAAACAGTGAGCTACCATATCACGAAAATTTAAGAGCTGGCAAGAAGATAACGCTGAGCGCCAAAACATAACGAGTAGACGTTACGATACATCATCACAAGTAAAGAGGGAATTGAAATATAGCTTAGGAATAGAAGTGCGTATTTCAACTATCCCCAGATGCCTAAAACGTAACAATTTGAAAGTCCAAGAAGCCTAAACTTATCAAATTACATAAACAGAAACGTCTTAATTTTGCCAAACGCTATAAATAATGGGAGATACCTTAGTAGATTTGAAGAGGATTGTATGGTCAGATGAATCCAAAATTAGTGGAGTTGATTCAGATTTGCGAAAATGGTTATGGACTATACCGATGAAGTCTATAACTGAGCGAGAAGTATAAACAACAATGAAATTTGGTGATGGTAGTCTTAGAGTGTGACTATGCAGACACGAATTTAGTATGAGCGAGAGGTTGCGAGCGATATAGTTCTCGCAAAGGAAAACCATGTACAAGCGAGAAGCGAGAAATNGAGTCATCTCTTAAAGGTCTTGCTAAGAGTGATTCACACCAGAATCCGCTTAAAATGTGAATTTGATCTTGATAGCAGGCAGATGGGATTTAGGGTGCGACTATGCAGACGCGAATTTAGTAGCGAGCGAGAGGTTGCGATATAGTTGTCGCAAAGGAAAACTATGGAGAAGCGAGAAATATCGCTGGCGAGAGCGAATTTCTGGTTCTCGCACATATCTGACAGGGTTTGATATTTATCGCGTCTCGCCTCTTCTCGCCACCTATTCTCGCTCTCTCGCGTCTGCATAGTCGCACCCTTAGTCTGGGGCTATAGACGGCCGGATGGTCGAGCGATCAAAGTGGCAGCCTACCGCTCTGGGGATCCGAGTTCGAATCAGAACGGGTCGAAAAATCTCCAGGAATTTTTCGAGGGTGGTCCGACCGGATTGTCGTCACTACCCCTCACTATATGTTACTACCCGGCCGCCCCATTGTGGGTCTGGCCGAACCCATCATTGGATAGTATCATTTACAGATAGCATAATGTGTAGAAAAGTAGAAAGTAACAGTGAAAAATATAATAGGAAAAAAATAAGAATATATGTCGAACCAAAAAAATAACCAACCTAGATCAGTGAGTAAATACTATGTAAGAAGTTGTCGAACGGCATTTGATGACCTCATGGTCGATTCAACTCATCTGTCGTAAGTTGAAGTCAAACATCAACTAGTTTACAAGTGACTGAAACACTAACGACCTTGTGAATTTGCCGGTTTCAGGCTAAACAACGTCCGTATTTATTTAGCCAATAAGAAGGCATGATAGAAATTGAAAGAGAATTCAAACGTGCATGCAGAGTTTAGTACCATGGCGATGGAGCGAGTAACGGCGAGCCAACTCGAACTAAGGATTATTTTTTGGACGAACATAAAATGATCCAGTTTTCTAGATATCATATCTCATTTACAGCAAAATATAGGCAAAAACTGGGAGATTTCACTATTTTATTGAGCGCCGATGGCATTGGTCCTCCTAAAACCGTAGGTAAATGGAGAAAAACAAAGATGTGAATCGTTTGTTTTAAATAATAACTAAATAATGTAATGAACAGTTTTTATAATGGATTGGTTTATTATAAGAAAATTAATATGATTTATTATATTACAGCTGTATAATATTCGTTACGGTGTCTGTGTTGTTGTTGATCAGTAAAAATATACTACGGCCGGATGGCCGAGCGGTCAAGGTGGCAGCCTACCGCTCTGAGGAACCCGGGTTCGAATCCGAATAGGTCAAAAATCCCCAGGAATTTTTCGGGGGGTGGTCCGTTCGGATATGCCGGGCACCGTCCCTCACTACCCGGCAGCCCCATTGTGGGCCTGGCCGAACTCATAATGGGCTTGCAAAAAGAGGCCCTCTTAGTGCCCACAGGGCAGAAAGAGTCATAAAAAAAATTTAAAATATAACTCACTGGAACAGTACATTACAGTATTAGTTTAATTATATAATAGTTATGGTCTGTTTATTTAAAAAATTCCCAGGAATTTTTTGGGCCCCATCCTTCACCACCCGGCAGCCCCATTGTGGGCCTGGCCGAACCCATAATGGGCTTGCAAAAAGAGTCCCTCTTAGTGCCCACAGGGCAGAAAGAGTCAAAAATGGAAAAAGTTATCGAATAGCAAGTGATGGATTTGCACTGTAAAAATAAATCTATACAGTAGATCCCCCTATAAAACCGTTTCCTATAGTTATGATTCCTATAAAAATTGTGGCAGTACAGTAGATCCCCCTATAAAACCGTTTCCTATAGTTATGATTCCTATAAAAATTGTGGCAGTATCCGTAAACAACGGTAAAAATAACNCTTAAATGATATATTGATTTTTGATAAAGTATTATTCATTTCCTTAAATATATAATGTTATATATTTTAAAGTAAACAAGAAATTTTTGCTTTCAAAGTTTATATTTGGCTA